GCGATGGCCAATGAAGTGTGAAAGAGACTTCTGTTTTTTCCCGCAATGAGAAAATGACAGCTCGCTCCGTCGACGTATGAAAAAAGCACTCGATCGCAAATATCCCGGGGTGACGTTTCAAGAAACGTGTCTCAGAATGTGACCGAAAGTCATTCGTATTGTCAGGCCGGGATGCGATATCTTTATTAGGGCTGAAATGAACCGAGTCGAGCGCGTTTACCTCCCATTTCGGATGTTTTTCATCTCTTTGAGGGTCATTTCATATGCTCGGAATATCATTCCGGCTCAAGCGGGCGTTAATTTGACATTTGTAATGCATGTACAATGTTCCATGAATGCATTCATAAGGCCTGAACATCTCAAACTTTTTGCGAGGCCTTTTATTTTGCATCCCGCCTCTCTCTCCCTCTGTAACATGTCAAAAGACTGCATCCTCCTCTCATCTGAGATGCTGGTCAGATCAGGGGGCCCTTCATTGTATATTTTACCTTGGAGTTGTTTTGATCTCGCTGAAGACAGGGAGCAGCTTTTTTCCCATTTCCCTTTTTCTCCCTCTCTCTTTTTTTTTTATTCCTTCGGCAGCGCGTGTGTCTTTTGCATGCATTGTCTTTGAACAATGCTCTGTTTGAACAGTGTGCTCGCAACTCAGGATACAGGCGCGCTCGACGGATCGACTTTTATCACCTGCTTTTCCCAGTGATTCTATTAACGCTTCTGTTTCATTAAAAAAGGGGGACGCGGCCAACAGACAGGCGCACCGGTGAAGAGACAGACAAGAGTGACTTCAAACAAAGTCAGGCGAGAGATTGCCACAGCGCGCAGACAGCCCTTCATTCGGGGGGACTGACAAAGCAGGGCCGGATGAGGCGTACAACTGTGTGAATGTGTGTGTGTACCTGTGAGGTGCTAAATCATTAATTAGAAGGAAGCCACTTCTCCCTCTCTAATGCACTGTTGCTAATCCATGAACATTGAAACATATGGTCCCGTGTTCGAGCTAGTCCAACAGGCTGAGTGGGTCAACAGTTGTTTACTGGTGGAGGTCACCATACATTGATGCATTCAGATAATTATCTAAAAAAAGAACAAACAGAACTGTAGAGATAATTAAATGAGAATATGTTTAAGATCCCCCATCCTTTATTTATTCTTATTGAATGTGTTACTTTATCCGAAGCGACTTTATTAGCACTGTCACTATACCACATTCAATTAGAATTCCATGTGAAAAAAGTGACATGACAATCTTCTTGGACTGACACCTATTGGCATGGGTACATTTATTCAGACATCAATTCATTATGCATGCAAAAGTGTCTCCCCCACTACAGATTTTAGCTGCTCTTTTTAAATTGTTGGTGGTAGGAATGCAGTCTATTATGTTCACTACAGCAGTTAAAAGATTTGGGGTTGGTAAGATTTTTTTATGTTTTTGAAAAATGTCTCACTAAGGTTGCATTTATTTGATCCAAAATAACTGTAATATTGTGGAATATGAATTACATCTTTATTTTTATATATTTAAACATTTTTCTCATTACTCTTCAGTGTCATAAATGTATTACGTATGGAAATTATTATATAGAGGGCTTCTCCTACTTTTCAAAGTGATATTTAGCGGCAGTTTGTCAGGAGTCCTCTTCGGCTCACTGGATGGAAAATGTGCTTTATTTGCAAATGTTTTATGTGATATTGCCATTTGCGCAAAACTTAACTTTGAATGGAAACATAACTATAATGGATTTTTTAAAAATACATTATTATGATTATTTTTATTAAATAAACCTAGGTGGCAGTGAAAAGCATTAAAGGTGCCCTAGAATTGTTTTTTAAATTATTTTATAATGTTTCCTGGGTTGCCCTTATAGTGTTAGTATGTTTTTTAGATCAAAAATAGTCATAATTTAGAAATAAAAGGCATTTTTCCCAGCCTGCTTTTAGCCTCTGCTTTGAACGCTCTGTTTGAAGGGGCGTGTCTATTGTGTGTAACCGGCCTCTGCTGATTGGCTGACATGCTTGCATATGAAATAGCTATTACATGTAAAACTCTCTCGAATAATTTTTAACAGCTATTATACGTTTTTACTATTACAGCCATCGAAATTAACGAATCGTGAGATGTTTTTGAAGTATTTAGATCTATTCCCATCACATACAATGTTGCTGATGAGCATTGAGCAAGCAGAGGACAGTCTGTCGACTCAATCGCGAGGATGAAGATATTATCATTGCAATGCAGTTTCTGTTCTCTAATAGTCTAATGCTTTCACCAATGCAGACACGATCATGTAAATACAGAGCTTCGTTGTGCAGTGTAACGTGCGTCATTGAATTCATAACGAGTTTGGCAAGTGTCCAGATAAACTCGCGCTGTGTGGAAAGATTGTTCGTTGATCGCTTTCTATATATAATTTATCCACAACTATTATTATTTTTCTTCATCCTACAAAAAGAAACGTTGTGAAGTTTATATTTTAGTCACTGGCTTGACTTACTGATGCAAATATTGAGTGAAAGATTAACGTTACCTGTCTGAACTTGAACAACACATCAGCTCGATCCTAGGCCAGCTCTTGACAAGTTGAGGAGGAAACAGTCGTCGGTGAAATGTTTGAAATTTCCAGAGAAAATAAAATTAACCCATTGTTTCTTCAGAGGCTCGGATGAAGGAACTAAAAAATACTTCTGTGTTCATGTGTACATCCGAACACTGATCGACTGCCATGCTTGCTTCGACTGCGCATGGGCTATGCACGCATAAGTTCCGCATTTGACGCAAGGATGCTCGTCTATTTCCGGTTGTGTAGATTAAAGCTGAGGAAAACCGGAGAAAACGGGATTATGGCAGAGTCTTCAATATTTACTGTCCTCCAGTCTTTGAAATGAAACGTACATACGTTTAGATGTAATTTTATATACAGTTATGTTTATTTGATATAATTTTAAAAAGAAGCATTAACACAACGAGGGGTGTCTGTTTTATCTGTTTTTGTGACTAACGTTTCATTAGTATAACCATGGAGTATAAAATTCAATATAAATTCTCGCTATTGCATTGGACTCTATGATCGGCGGAAGTTATCGAGCATCCTTACACCTTCACCGGAAATAACGCCGTGCATAGAGCCCATTCCGCCTATCACTGAACATGGGCTGGCATATGCAAATGTTTGGGGTCGTATTAATGATCGCGACTGTTGCGTCACAGTCAATATTATGTGGAGATTCGCCTGTTTTTCAGGGGTGTTTTTCAAAAACGAGATTTAAGTAAGAAGGAGAAAACATTGGTGTTTGAAACTCCCTGTATGTCCATGTACTGAACTATTGTTATTACTATGCCAAAATAAATTCAATTTCACATTCTAGGGCACCTTTAATAATCTTATCAGAAACTCTTTTACATCAATTTGGTAAAAAAAATAAAATAAACTGCAATCAATATAATCAGTATATAAAATAAATTTGAAAAGTTATAAATAAATAAACAAGGAGGCACTGAAAGATTCCCGAAGCAGCTTTGATGTGCCTTTAATTTTAAACGTTTGGTAACATTGCTGTAGTAATAACAGTAAATTATGCCAGATTCCAAGTAACTAACCCTAAACCAACCCCTAACCATAGCTCTATAGAAAGTACATGCAAGTACAATGTAACTGTCACCTTAAAATAAAGTGTAGCCTTTTTTTTTTTCTTTTACTCTACTATGAATGTTCACGTGCGGTGTTTGTAGCCCAGCAGTCATTATGCTGCAGGCAGCGGCGGTGAACTCTGACTCTGGCACAGGAAGTGAAGTCAGCAGCCGTGTAGCTGCTGCTCCAGAAGGCGATGGCTGTGTTCGCGGCGGGGCTCTTCCTCCCCGTAGCAAGGTTGGCACGGTGCGGAGGTGCTGGTGGCGCGGTGCTGGTTCTGGCGCTCTTAGCTGCTGCGAGCGGTGCGTGCCCTCTGTCATTCATGGGGAGTGGCTCTGTCCAACTGTCACTTCCTGACAGGCTGATAATCAATCTCTTTATTAACTGCTCTGCTGCAGACGGCCTGCCCGGTAGGGAGGGTGGGCATCCTGCACGGTACACCGCAGCACCGCACTCCGCTGGGGTCGGAAAGGTTGGCACCGCAAGACACCGTCGCTTCCAGGCAGGGCCCATCTTCGTTGCCTTTAGGAATCACACTGATGTGGCCCAATCGTCCCCAGTGCTAATTTATGAAGAGGAAAAGTGCAGTCACATTAATGAAATTTCATGTGCAAAAAAGGTCCATTTGTCGATAGTGTAGTAGACATGTATAAAGCACTGGCTTTTTCGAACCAAGAAGCTTTTTGTTGGTCAGAATGGTGAATTTGCATGACCAACTTGAACTAGCGAAATCTGAGTGGCCAACATTTTCACCCTCACACGAAACTCCAGATTTTGCAAATTCCCATTGCCATGACTGGATTTCTCCTGTGGAATTTTGACGAGCAGCGGTAAATGTGACAGCCGTACCTCATAAGCCAACTGTGATTTGCTTCCCAAACTTTTTTTTAGCCCATCACCACCAAACTGAACGTGTTGGGTGAGTGGGGGTGCATATCATTTCTCTATATTTAAAAATGTAACTTATTCCTATGAATGCAAAGCTGAATTTTCCAAAGCTGAACTCCAGTCTAAAGTGTCACATGATTCTTAAATATTAACACATTCTGTGTGGCAAACTGTTTTGCCCATACAATAATCTCCCAATTGCTCAAATTCCTATTGCAAAGACTGGATTTTTCCCGTGAATCTTCGCCGAGTTGAATTTGAAGCCTCACAAGCCAACTTCCCTTTTTTTAGTAGCTCGTCACCACCAAATTGAACATGCCAACGAGAGTAGGGATTGTTTTTCCACTCTCGCTCATCGTTCGCATGTCAATTCCACACAAGCTAATGGCAAAGTCATGTCAGATGTAGCATTGATGAAGAAACAGGGCCGTATCACATTAAATATGAATAAGCTACAGCTCTATCCCTTTCTGTTGCTCATAGGAGGTCTTCCTGGTGGAAACGCAGAAGACTCTGCTGAGCAGGATCTCCGATCTGTGCGTGGGGAACACGACGGCCGCCAAGCTGCTCGCTCCTCCAGACCCGGCCGAGTGCGCAGAGACCACTTATTCACTCCCCACCCAAACAGCTGAGTAGAAAGACATATAAGCACAATAATTCTATGGCAAATAACGATAACCATAAAACTCCAAATCCCTGTAATAAAGCCGAAGCCTCTCTCCCTAATGAAACAGTGGCCCTCCTGCTGTTTCCTGCCTAATGTTCCCGCCGAGGCTTCCTCCACTTTCCATAAAGCAATTTTGCAAGCCCACTCCCAACGTGAATCATCTCGAAACGAAGAGAAGCCTCTCCCTCCATCTCTCCTCGTGTCCCCGGAGGGTGACGCTGACTAAATCTGTGTTGATACAGAGGTGTGCTCTAAATCCTGTTTGCTCGGGTTCCATCTCTCCTAATATTCACACCCGTGTATGAGGCCCCTTCCCTGCCCGCATCTGCTAATGTAGCGTATCGTCGCCTGGATGACAAGACGACATCGGCGAGCTCCTCACAATGTGTGGGAAGGAGAACATATGTTAAATTTAAGAAGCTGGGATTTACCTCGGCGTGGGTCTTAGTTTACATGCACCACTCGACAACAAAGGACGAATCGCCGCTTTGTACGGTTTACGTTGCGGATGCACATGTAAGGTGTTATATCTGAAAATATAGGCGGCTTTTGTAGAAGTCGCGCTGAATACCATCTGCCGTGTCTTGAAATTCAAAGTAATTAAGAATATGTTTGGCAAATGAAAAACAACCTTTGTGAAATGCAATAAATGAGAGTTTGAACGGTGAGATTGAGTTTGTAAATTTGATTTGAATTTAACAATTCCACAGTATGTAATTACAGTGTTTAAAAATAGACTTTTTTTGTGCGTGTAATCCATTAGATTTAATTTCTCCAGCACATGCCTTTCGTTTATTTCCAATTAATGCCGTTTACCTATTAATTCTTCAAAAGAAAAAACTTGCAACAAGATATTTTTTATAAAAAAAAAAAATAAATAAAAGATAGGCCTTTCTAAAATAAGAAAGTCTGAGATATAACACATTGCATATCAAAAGCTACAGTATTCTCACTCAGAGATTTGAATGCTTTTCTTGGCAAATCCCAAATTACTCAAAAGATTTCTTGATTGACAGATAAGGGGGGATAACTGTATTTAGCCAGGGACCATCTTTCCTCGTCTGGTGTGATTTGGGTCTCATGGAGGATTGGCCCCCCTGGTGTCTGCCCCCCTCCTCCTCTCGGCACGGGGCAGGGGCAGATTGACAGAACAGCATGGGGGCAAGCGCCGCTGTGCCAACAGCCCCCCCACGCTCTACCTGATGTTTTTAACAAAGGCTTCCATCTCACCATTTCTGCTGCCGAACATCGCCCAACCAGTTTCAACCCACCCCGGCTCTGGAACAAACAGACTTTGAAACCTGATCGCAAGGATGTTGGGAACAGATGCACAGACGCTGGGAATGATGCGGCGTGTACGGCTGTCCTCAAAGATAAAATGTCAAACATTTTTCAGTTTGAGCCCAAGAAATTGGGCAGTTGTTGTTATTGAGCAACTGCTTGTAATTCAAAGGAGAATATTGGTGGCTTCTATGATGATATAATGTAATATAAGAGAAGCCACCAATACTGTGTGTGTATATATATATATATATAGTTTTATTTAGAGGGAGACTGGGGCTAGTTGTTACACTTTTTCGACTTCAGTGAATATTTCTGTGTAGGTTTTTGAATGTCAATTTCTGCACAGGAACAAACAGAAAAATCTTTATCAATCAAAAACTGAAATCGTAAAAAAAAAAAAAAAAAAAACACAACCTATCCCAAATGTGTGTGTGTACTGTATATATGTTTATATATATTTATATATATATATATATATATAAAATTTATAAAAAATGTAAAAGAAAAAAAGAGTATTATTTTGTTTCAATTTGGTTTGTTACAACTTGGCTGAATATATATATATATATATATATATATATATATATATATATATATTACTAATTAGTTTTGTTAAAAGATAAAGATATGTTCAAATGTTTGGTACATTTATAATTGTCGTATCTTGACTTTCAGTCCAACTTCATTAATAAATGCACATTGTTCTTACTGACCCCCTTCCAAGCCATCATCAATCACTGGAAAATTTCACTGACTTTCCAAAGGGACGATGCGAAAGGAGCACACACCGTCTGACGCACATTTCTTGGAGGTGTTCCCCCATTTTGATGAATTTCCGGCCTAGGCACCCAGCATCCCTGCTGTATGTGTGGCTGCATCTCCTCCTTCCTCCTGTCAACATGATCCTGCGCACAATCAGTCGCAGAGCACACACTCGCCGGGTACCTTTCCGCTCCTCGCCACGTCCTCTGGCCTCACCTGCTCCGTCTGTTTTATTAGCGAGCAACAGAACATTTACAATTCTCACAAATTCAAAATGATCTTTGATTCCTATCACTCCTGTATTGTTGCGAGGAAAATGGATCAATCTTGTTTTTTGAGAGTGAGAGTTATAAGTAGTTCACACAGTAAAGCTACTTTGTTGACTTGCCAGGCTTTTTACGGGCAAAAACAAGGAATATTGAACAAAACAACCATAAGCATTATATGCATTTAACTTTTTCTTCTGGTCTCATAGTTTGTCTCATAATGAAAATATCTTTCATTGAAGATATATAGAATATTATTTTGATACAAAGTTAGTTATAATCCCAGACTCTGCCCTGTAATCAATAAAAATAAATTTTTTCAGGCCCGCAAGTGAGTGCAGCCAATGATAAATATTGGCAGACAAGAAAAATGTGTCATTTTTGTCGATTGAAGGGAACATAATGATATTCACAAGAAGACCCCCACTGCGATGCAGACACAACTGTTCCTAAGCAACAAAACACCCCCCCCCCCTCCAAATGCAGACATGACAGCCACAAATATTCAGACCTCCAATGTAGTGATGAGGGTAAACACAACTGTACAACCTCTGTACTTAAATTGACACATTTAGCTCCTGATAGTTATACTATAAGCAATGTTGGGGGTAACTCATTAGGCAAGTAAAACGCGTTATGTAATGAGATAAAGTAATGCATTACTTCTTAAATTTACTTTCTTTTTTTAAATTAGTAACACAAGTTGTTGTGTGCATAGGAAGGAACATTTCACTTTTGGTGTGAAAGGGATACTGTATATTAGTAAAACACACAAGACAAAGTAATGCAAAAGTAACATAGCACTACGTTCCATGAAAAGCAACTTTACTTTTTAGGTATTATTGTAATCCATTACTTTTAAAAGTAACTTTCCCCAAGTAATTATATACATATAAAAAATACAAAAAAGCAATGTAAACATAATTGCATTATGATAAGTAAGAAAATGCATTTAATTTGCATTGTTTTATTCATTGTGGCATTGCTGTATAATCCTAATCCTAGACAGAGGTTTATATTTTAATTATATTTTAAGACTGAAATAAACATGTCCAGAAAACAGAGCAATTCATACATGCTGTTGAATTTATTATTTAATTATATTATTAATAGGCATGCTTTATTGATCCAAAGGTGCAAATATAATTAAACACTGCACAAAAAATAATAATAATAATAAAAAAAATTGGATTTAAAATGCATGTTGATATTTATATATATATATAGTATATTATTTAGGTCTAACTGTTCAACATACTGTACATAAATCTCTGTACAGAATGTGGTCAATTCAGTTGTCTCAATTTCAGTGGTTGTGGTTCTTGAAGGAAAAGACTGTAAATGTCTTATATTGCTTGGGTAGGAGTGCCATCTAGTGATGCATTCAGTAACCTGCTGCCAGTATTGAACACATTGTGGCTTTAAAAAGTATACACTACTGGTCAAAATGTTGGGGTCAGTAAGATTTTATATATATATATAAAAAAAAAAATCTTAGAAATGTATACATTTATTCAGCAAGGATGCATTAAATTAATCAAAAGGATCAGTAAAGAATCGCATTACTACAAAATAATCATTATTTGGAAATTTCATGGTCAAAAAGTATCATGGTTTTCACAAAAATAAAACCACAACAGATTTAAATGTTGACAATTGTTAGAAATTAACATATTAGTATTTTTTATGAAGGATCACTTGACACTGAAGACTGCTTTCCCATTACAGGAATAAATATTATTATAAAATATATTAAAATACAAAACAGTTACTTTAAATTGCAATAATTTCACAATACTGTTGTTTTTATTGTATTTTTTTTAAATAAAATAAATGCTGCTTTGGTGACTTATTTCAAAAACATTTCACATAAAAAAAAATACAGACACTAAACTTTTTTTTAAATATAGTGTATATTAAAGTAACCATTTTAGGTAAACTAAGCCAATATACAATAAAATGTTGTCATAAATATAATGTACAATTCACTTTGGCCTTGAAACATGCCGTGAACAATGTAATCTATACTGCATATTATATAAGATTATTATTATTATTTATTTATTTTTTTTGTAATGCAATATTTACATTTAAGGTCAGAGAATGTTATGTTCGATTTTAGTCTACTGCATATTACATATGATTATTTTTTTGTAATGCAATATTTACATTTAAGGTCAGAGAAGGTTATGTTCAATTTTCATATTATTCAGATTATCATCGGAGATTATGCCGATTATCATATTATTCTTTATGGCTTGAAAAAAGAAAATGGCCTATTGTAAACTGGACTCTTTTGTGGAACTTCTGATTTGTATCATTATATTATTTAGAATTATATTATTCTGATCGAGAAAGTAGAAACTAGAGCTAAGGAGTCTGTTAATTTATTAGCATATTAAAGCAACTAAAGTGCAGTATTTTGTTTATTTTACTTATGAAATGAATTATGTGCTATGTAAAAGGGTCTGTTAATCATCTACCATTTGTAACATTACTCTTTGAAAGCAGAGGACCAATCAGAGCAATCATGACATGATGGACATACTTTGCACAAATGAACTTCCAATTAACAGCTTCATTCTACCAAGCTTTTATTTTATTATGATGTTTTTCGCATGTTAAATGCACAACTAGATAAACGGTGGAAGAAATGAGTTTTTCCATTTGATTTGCATTGACTTTATTAATTGTAGCATTACTGCATATTTATTATGCATAATCATGGACTGTATATTAAAGATTCAGATTTTAAATTAACATTAAGACTGAAATAAAACTCTCTAGAACAAAACAAACCAACAGAAGTTATACTTGCTGATGAAACCCAGGGCACACAAATGTCCACGTTTATTACGCTTCAGGATTATTTTTGAGAAGGTACTCAGCCTGAAATATACAATGACAAACGGAGAGAAATTTACAACAATTTTTATTGTTGAAGAAAATACCTTCAATTAAGCTAATAAGGTGCAGCTGTTATTAGGAGGACCAACCTACCAGGAAGTCTATGGGGTCATCAGGACGTATTGTAGAGCACTGGATGAGGCCTTGGGTGAGAGTGGGCATCACATCCCTCATCAGGTAGTTCCTTAAAGGCACTGACTGAGATTCCAACAAGTCATGTTCTTCTCTCCTCACCTCCTGAAGACTCTGATTCTTAAAACACACATTAAAATCTCATTGATGAGCTGCTAGCTTATTTTTCTGCAATAGCAAAACATTAAATGGCAAAGAAAAAAAAACAAACAAACTAATTTTAAAAGGCAAAAATTAGTGCAAGTCAAAGATTAAAAAAATTAAAGACCAGACCTTTTAAAGAGGGCAAATCTAATAAAAAGACAGATGGGAGAGATTAAAGTTCTGCGTGTGATTTACTGACAATGTGCAGATTCAATGTCATATCAGGCACAAAAACGGTTAAGAAGTGCCGTTTTTGGGCGGTAAATAATGGCACAAATACCACTAAGTTGACTTAATAAATCACGTTGCATGTCACCATCCCGCTAGTGGGACACCTAAATTTACTTCACTGTATTAAAATTAAATCCTAATCTAATCATGACAAACTATATTTTAGCACTGTTCGTTAAAGGAGCCATATGCAAGAAGATTGTGGCCAAAACTGGTACTGCAATCACTTTCAAATTACTGTAGAGCAGTGTATCTTGATATATTTCGGATATTGTCACAAATATCTCGGATTCATATCAAGGTTTTTTTTTTTTTTTTTTGGTTTCGCAACGTTAGACTTTTTTTTTTAATCCAATTCCAACACGTTTGTATCTGCAGCTGTGGTAACTAGAGAAGAGCTGGCAACCCGAATGCCGCAACACAACGGACTCCGTGATTGGTAGATCGGTGGAGGGTGGAGCATCAGAACAAAACACAACATGACAACTTTTTAAATGACAATATCTTGGCGGGACTATTGTTGTTAGTGATACAACAATAGATTTCTTAATATCTAGTGACATATCAGGGAAAATGTATGATTAATTGAATTTTTTTTTTTTTTTTTTTTTTTTTTTTGCATACAGCTCCTTTAAAAACTATGTAGGAATAGTAATAAGGTAATGGAAGGTGTGAACCCAGACTCCCTTTAAAAAGTCAGGACCAGCGGTTTCCTCGCTCTCTTCTCTTCAGTCTTCCTCGTTTTAGTTTAGTTTTATTTTGTTTGTGTTGTCAATTATCCTTCGTCTTCTTTAGTTTTTGTTTTCCCTTATCGTATTCTTCTTTGCTCATTTCTCAGCCTAAATTAGCTGGCAAACTTTACTTTCAATGGACATTTGAACTTCCTGTAACTACGCTCGCTCCGGAAGAATCGAGAGAACCTTCTTTACTCAGCAACACGAGAACTATACATGCAAGTATTCGTTTATCAAGCTTTCAGTGCGTTTAAGATTTGTTTACCCCATTTAGAGTGATTTCATATCTTGGTATCTCTCTCAATGTTCCTTTTGTCTGTAATTTTGCCATAACTGATTGAGCATTGTCTCCCTTTTCCTATCACTCTCTTATTCTCATTTTCTTTCATTGTTTGTTGCTTTATTTTGTTATACATATACATACCGGTATACGTAGTTTCTCTTGAGGGTTGATGAAAGATTGTATGATCAGTTTGCTGGGTGAACAGATTATTCGATTAACAAATTAATCCCATAAGGGTTACCCTTGGAATCTATCTATTCCAGACAATTGACATATTGATATTTAATTCTAATTCGTTGTGATTGATTATTGATTTATAAAATTGATACATTTTTGCCGCCTGTATGGATAATTGATTATAATCCGTTGTATTTAGCTGTCCATACAGATACATTGGCAACGTATCCCCTTTACGGGTAATTTTAATGTGTGTATGTGATCCCTGATCATATTCATGATCAGTTATTCAAATTATATTCCCTTTATTTGAGCTAGAATCGTTACACAGGAGTTCTGACCTTTGTCACAAAAAGTCGCCGCACACACTTTTAATAATTCAAACTTTGGTTTTCATGCTAAAAGTTCATCATAAAACTTCTGTTGGGACCACTGTCGTCAAATACTATTGACAGTTAGCATACAGTTTGGATTTGTGTTATGGTTCCGTTTTGGGCGAGAACTCTCTGCGCATATCCATCCAGTCTAGCATGGATAAGAGCATGGAGAGCAGCAATAACCCCCTTAGGGTAAACAGAACAGAACCAACATGAATGTATTGCAGATATCATTTATTCAAGATTCTAAAATACAACATAATTTGAGAATTTATTCTGATTCAAGGGGAATCAGAATGCCAAATCCTGACTGAAGGGAGGAGGAGCTGGGGATGGAGGAGGGTAATTAGATCCTGAGAAACGTGATAGCTGCTGATAATACTGAAAGAGCTAATATGATAGGCATCGTATTCCTATAGGTAGACATTTTTTTTTTCACTGTGTGTCTTTAATAAATCCTGAGAGTAGTTTTTAATGCCAAAATAGGGTTTGCGCTGGCGTTGAAAATAAAAACGTAAAAATATAATGTCATGTCCTTACCCACTCCCCCCAACGCTGATCTCTCTGTTGGGCTTCCTCTTCCTCCTGGCGCTCTGCCTCGGCCTTTTGTGTCGCCTGTTTCTTTAGCTGCTGTTCAGCTTGCCGTCGTTCTTCTTCCTCCACCTCCTCTGAGATCGGCCTGTAGTTCTTCGGTTTGCCCACTTTTTTGCAAATCTTCTCAGTGACCAGCAAGTACTCATTGTCATCATTGCTTGTAATCTCTGCAATAAAAGTAAATAAATTTAGACTGTTAGGATACACTTTTAATTAATTAATAGATGTGATATGCCAGTCCAAACTGTTGAAACGTCACAATACCACTCTTAAAGATAAGGTCACATTAATGAAATTTTGTTGGTAAAAAGGTCAATTTTTATTGTCAATAGTGTAGCGCTGTACGGGTGTGTTCACACTTGTAGTTCGGTTGTCTTGGATTTTTTGGTTCGGACCAAAGGAAGAAGATGATGCATCAAGTCCTGGTTCGTTTAGTATTCACAGTGTGTAGGCCATTTGAGTAAAGTAAACTCATTGTCATGTTCACGAAACCAGTTTGAGATGATTTGAGTTTTGTGATATGGCACGTTATCCTGCTGGAAGTACTCGTCAGGTACCAGGCAATGTTTTTTTCCCAATCTTCTATTGACCAATTTTAGTGAGCCTGTGCAAAGTGTAACCTCAATTTTGATGTTCTTAGCTGACAGAAGTGACAATAGTTCAAGGAATAGTTCACATAAACATTTTTAAAAATTTTGTCATTATTTACTCGCCCTCAAGTTACCTGTAGAGAATTTCTCTCGTCTGCTGAACACAAAGAAATATATTTTGAAGAATATCGGTAACCAAACAGTTGATGGACCCCATTAAAAGAATAGTTCATTTAAAAAAAAAAAATGCTGATAATTTACTCACCCTCTGTCATCCAAGATGTCCATGTCTCTCTTACTTCAGTTGAAAAAAAAATCATGTTTTTGATGAAAATATTACAGGATTTTTTCTCCATATTATGGACTTCAATTGACTCCAACAGTTTCAAGATCGAAATGACAGTTTCAGTAAAGCTTCAAAGGGCTTTAAACGACACCAGACGATTAAAAGGGGTCTTATCTAGGGTCTTATGAAACGATCAGTCATTTCAAAAATAAATAAAAAAGTTTACGTTTTATAAGCACAAATGCTCACCTGCTCTGTTCTGTGATGCGCGTTCGTGACTCTCCTGTTCAAACTCATTCATCAAAATGAATGAATCTTTTTTTTTAGTCATTTCGTTCATTTTGTTCGTTGAATGAACAGGAGTTCGAACAAGAGAGTCACAAACGCGCATCACAGAACAGAGCAAGGCGAGCATTTTTGCTTATAAAACTTAAACTTTTTTAATTTATTTTTAAAACGAGCGATCGTTTCGCTAGATAAGACCCTTGTTCATCGTCTGGTAACGTTTAAAGCCCTCTGAAGCTGCACTGAAACTGTCATTTGGACCTTGAAATGGTTGGGTCCATTGAAGTCTATTATATGGAGAAAAATCCTGTAATGTTTTCATTAAAAACCTTCATTTCTTTTTGACTTTTCGACTTCACTGAAAGACATGGATATCTTGGATGATAAAATATTTTCCTTTGTGTTCAGCAGAAGAGAGAAATCTTGATTGTGTATTATTTTGCCTAAACAATGCTGTGTATTGAGCTTGTTGTTTGTGTGTACACATGGTGGGAATTTTGGTCTCGGATCCCGGCCTGCTTTTTTGGTTCACACCAAGGATTGGATGGCAGCATTCACACTTATTCAAATGAACCGCACTTACAGAGCAATTGCACCAGAGTTAATTCTAATCAAACCAAAGTGTGAACACATCCTATGAGTGTGTCTCACACACAAGTCACTTCCAAACCAAGCAGCTTTGTCTTGAACCCATTGCAAAATCTGTGTGTGGAAACCATTTGCAATCAAGTTAAATTCACGTGGATTCTTATTGGACTGGATTTTCACAGAACAGCTGTAAATTTGACCTTACCTTTATGTTTGGTGTGTATTAGCTAGCTCAACAGATGCAGTATTACTGCACTTCATTAAAACAGTATTTGGTTCACTCCTTCAATGTTACCTAAATGCTCAAGATCAATCTCTAGGTCCTCAAAGAAGTTCAGCACTGTCTGATCCTCTACGTTTCTCTCTCTGAAACGGGCCAAGTGGCGTGGGAACTGTTCAGGGGTGTAGGACGTTCCCTCTACAACAGTCTCGGGTAGATTCAGAACGCGGTTTTTCAGGAAATCATCAGTAGCGTCAACAGAGAACACAAACTCTGGAGAACAGACAAATGATTGTTTCTCTAGTGAATTTCAAAGTCACTTGTTACAGTATTTCTTTTAAATGAGTAGTGGGTATTCTGCTATTGAACGTGTTCACAAAAGTTACCACTATGTGAAAAAAGTAAGGTTTGTTTTAAGCAAAGATACATTCAATTCATGTGTTAGTAAAGACATTTATCATGTTACAAAATACTTTGTTTCAAATAAATGCTATTCTTTTAAACTTTCTAAAGACCCCTGAAAACATATGTATCACAGTTTTCACAAAAAAAGCAGCAAAACCGTTTTCAACATTTATAATAAGAAAAGTTTCAAATAACTATTAGAACAATTTCTTAAGAATCATGCCCTCAGGAATAAATTACATTTGAAAATATAATAAAATAGAAAAATAGTTATTTAAAACTATATAATATTTCACAATTTTACTGATTTTACTGTATTTTTGCTGTTTTACTGTATTCAGCCTTAATTTGCGAGCATGAGATTTATTTCAAAAACATTAAACTTTTGAACAGTACTGTAGGTAAATGAGTTCAAATCAGTCATGCAAGACTCAAAATCTTAAGGCTAATAATTATGATGGAGAAGTCTGGGGGAAAAAGGCATTTCTAATCTGCATTATACATTATATTAATAAATTACACACCTGGGATGATCTTTTTCTCATGTTTAGATTGCAAGTCTTCAGGCTCTTCATCACCTGTTGAATATTTAAATAATCATGCAGCAAATCAAAACTCATGTATTATTAATCAGAATCATGATTTAATTTGTTCATATATCATCTAAAAAAGGCATATTTCTCACCAGTAAATAACTGCTTCGCCAGCTCATATGTCTTAGGGAAACCGTCCAAAACGAAGCCCTGGTTCAAACAGGGTTTAGTCCTGAGTTTGTCCCTCATTATACGAATCACATATTGGTCATCCAGTCGTCCTAAAAAAAAACAACAGAAACTTAATATATGTCATTTCAATATAAAGCACCAATAAAAATTACAAACATACAACCTCCATTCTCATTCATGTTTTCCTTCAGAGTGTCCAGAAACTCCTGAGTTTCACCCTCATCATTTTCCATGTCCTCCATTTGAATACATGACTCCTGATTAATTCAACTAAGCATCAGTATAAAATGTATATTTTTCAATGTAGAAAAACAGAAAAGGTTACTGCAGGGAGCTGGACTTTTTTTTTTTTAATTATTTGAACATGCTTTGCTGGTTCTGAATAGATTCTGGGTGATGTATAACACTCACCAGGTTGTTTAATGTTTCAGTGATCGTCTCCTTAAGTTTAACGTGATGAAGTTTGTAATGTTTGCATATCCTCTCTGCTATAGTGCTCTTTCCTACAGCAGGTGGTCCCAGGATGCAGATACGAAGGGGCTGGGACACACACAAACGCAGGTGCTTTTACAGTGAAACTTTAGATTGAGCCAAAAAGCCAAACATAAAAGAAGTACCAAAAACAAACATACAACTAGGGAATTTCAACGTACCAACAATCGCCTGGTCTGCTTGTATTCTTCAGTGATCTGCTCAATGTTTTCAACCATGCCATATTCTGACACCCACTGGATGTTAAAATTCTCTTTCAGATACAGTGCTTCAATACGAAGGTTGACAAACAAAGAATCAATATCTGTTTGCTGAAGAAAGTAAAAAGATATCATAGTTGATACAAAACCAAAAAATGTACAATATTGATAATCTTCTCTGTAGAATGTCAGAACAATATTGACATTGATTCTTACTGTCAACTCCCGTATGAGATAAATCTCCTCTTTTGAAACATTCCGAGTTTTTCCTGGTCCAAGCACGAGTGTTATTGCCTTGAGGAAGAAGATTTCCTTTCATGACAACCATTAACTTAACTTACATATACATATACTGTATATATATACATTGAATGTGTAGAATCTCACCTTTATGATATCGTCCATTGTGTTTTTGGAGTCATCAACAGCAACAATATATTGTGACTTTGGCTTGTGGTCAATGACATTTTGGATGATCCTTAATGAATATGAATCAAACGGATATAAATGCCTGGTACTTTAGCTTTTGCATGGCTGATGTCATAAAAAGCTCCACAATTATACTAACCCTGCCAGATCATTGATGTGAATAGTGGGGATAATATTGGAGCCATCACCAAAGATGGGCACCTCAGAGACTTCACCCAGCCATGACATCTACACAACAAACTTTTTAACTTCAATATTTCGATTAGTAAAAAGTATTTACAAAAGTAATATTTTTTAAATGTCTGTCCACTACCTTAAAAAACAAGTGAAACATGTGTTCTCCCATTCCATATTGTAGCCCTGATGCAACAACATATGTAGAGAACAGGGAGCTTTTCTGAAAATCATTCATAAATAAATATGAACTTCACAATTTTAAAGTCATGCTCACGTGAATTGTTGAATATCTTTAGTGTGTACAATTGTTTAATATTACATGGATTTTCAACTAAAGTTGAAAAATTATTATCCCACAATATTTCTTGCTTACAGTTTTGCCTAATTTCACCACAAGTTTCTCCAATTCGATATGATCACAGAAGTTGGGGTGTGCTTTTCTTTTCCTGTAGTGCTCGTCTGTAAAAGGAATCTCTGGGTCATCCTATTGTGGAGTTAAAATATTCATCAATACAACCTTTTAATCATGTTAACATGCTGTTCAATAAAGCAGCCTACTTGATAATTGAGTGTTCTTATTCCTACTTTATTAGCTGGTTTAGACATAGCCCACGTCATGATGGTTGACACCAGGATAAATATCTTGTGCCCAGAAAAAGTGTCCATTTCTTTATGAAGAGCTGTGATTGAATGAGAATTTAACTAGCATCTGCTCAAGAAAAAGTTTTATAGAAAGTAGCACATTGATTCAATAAAAAAGGTGATACCTGAGACAGCCCACTGTGCTTCAGCTATCTGATCAGCATGCTGATTGATATCAAAAATGATCACATCACACTTCATCAGATGACGGAGAAGCTCTTCGTGCTTCAAGTGCTGGTAGAGATGAAACGGGATGTTATTAAAAAAGTAAAGTGGCTGGCAGAGTGTCAGTAAGTTACAACTCATGAAAGACATAGCATATTCTGCATAATGCTGTAGTAACGTTACAGTTGATTTATTTACGCTGTACTCTTCAGAGATAAAACTGCACTTCTCTGTTTGGCTGGAAACTGTTCCCACAATTTGGAAGGTTGCATCTTTGATTTTTGTTTGCTTGTCATCCTGCAGCCTGTCTTCTTCCTCCTCCACATCAGCCTCAAAGTCCACAAGAGATGCACCAACTACACACGAGTCTAAAAACTAAATACAGGATTATATAGTATGGACATAATAGCCATGATTTAATGTGACAGTGTTAATCTGAAGCTATCAAACCAATCGTTCTAATTCCACTGTTAGGGGTTTAAGAATACATTTGTACCGCTTCAGCTACGGTGCAATTAAGTTATGCAATAGAAATAACTTACCTTTGCAATATGTTTCGTTGTGTAATTATCAACATTGTTGATAAAAACCCGTATGGATTTTTGCGGTCTCTCCTCAGTCTTGTCCGCCATTGTGGTGTTGTTGTCCTGTTGCTTAGAAACGGATGCATTCGCACTGTGTTCATAAAATATAAAACTATCACATTGTGTAGGCGCTTAAAAGCCTCTATAAATATAATATCACACACACACATGTTTATAAAATATGTTTGAAAAGTATTTAAAATCGATGCCCCTTATTTTTTATATAAATATGTCTGAGCTGTAAAAAAGATCTTGCATTGTCATTTGCTGTCCATATTAGATTATAATTATTTATTTTGTTTGTTTCTCTGTTTTGAAAGTGAATGGTTCTGCAACATGCAAGGAAATCTCCTCAAGTCATTGTTATTGGACCAGGAAAAACTTTCAGAAGAGGAGATTTATCTCATATGGGACAGTACTGACAGTAGAATCAATGTGAATTGTTCTGATATTCTACAGGGAAGATTATCAATATTTTATATTTGTGGCTTTGTATCGACTATGATTTTCCTTTATTCAGCAAACTTGATTCTTTGCTTGTCAACCATCATATTGAAGAATTTTAACATCCAGTGGGTGTCAGAATATGGCATGGTTGAAAACATTAAGCAGATCACAGAAGAATACAAACAGACAGATTGTTGGTATGTTGAAATGCTCTAGTTATATTTAATTTTTTGGTATATTCACAATGAAGCAGCTGCTATTGGGCATGATTGATCATGCTGGTCATTTGTGGTCATTATCAGGTCAAGCTAAATGATGAATCATCTGATTTATCCACAGATGGAAATTCACAGAAATTCTGAATCACACAAATGGTTTAAATTATATAATATAAATTATGATTATTATTATTATTAAGACACATTGGGTATGGCTGCACAACTGAAACCTTAAAATATGAAAAACTCATTAAATCTCTTCATTATCACAGTCAGATACAAGAACATGTGTGTTTCCAGTCTGCTTGTTTACAGTGTCACAATAATGGCAAAACAAAAAAGATCAGGCTAAAGCGTCTATAGCAAAATTATCAAACTGTGCAAGTTCAAAAGAATGAGTGCCTATGGCCGCCCATCCATGCTGTGGCTCCCCAAGCACTGCATTCTTCCACAGCGCATAGCCATTAAGGTCTGCTGATGCATAGTTTCCCTAAAAACAGAGATAGTAAATCAGCTGCATTTATTTATGAAAAAGTGCAAATCCGACAGTGCGGTGAAATGAGATTCAAGTCACTACAGGTAAGACTTAAATAAACGGAAATCAATAATATCAATATGTGTAGGAACATTTCTATATAATATAACAAACCTTGACTGTAAGGGTCAGTGTATACCATACACGCGCTCTAGTTCCAGACAGTCCCTCAGCAAGAACTGTCATTCCACCTGTCAAACAAAGGTTTCGGATACATGACCTGGCCTAGTCAAACTTACAGCAGTAGAGGAAGAAAGAAACGTGTATTTTTTCAAATGCTTACTGAGGTCATTGGTGACTTTGTAGGTGCCATCTGCATACACCCAGAAAAAGATTCCCTTTGTACTTCGGGTGACTCCTCCACCTTTGTCCACTCTGACAGCAATGTAGACTCCACCAGTGTGCACAGCCTCCATGTACACGTCGCATGAGACCATTAGGTCATGCCTGGTGATAATCAAAAAATACATGGAGAAGTTAATAAGTCAAGTCGCCTCAATTTATATAGCTTTATACAGTGAATAGTTTCATAGAAGCTTTACGGTGTGTGGCAAGCAGGGAGAGGCAGAGAGCCATGGAAAAGAAGTGAGGCCGGTGGCGCAAGTGTTAATGATCCCCACAGAGAAGCTCGGGAAGGATAAATTAAAATTAGGAAGTGACGAGAGTGGAAGACAAGAAAGGACCAGGCCTGAGACAATTATGTTGTTGATGTTACATTGCTGGTCTCACCATTTATAATCACCAATAACACTTATTGTCTGATCAGCATCTGCAACCCAGGTCACCGGGCGCTGAGTGACCACCTGTCGCAGAGTGAAAATATGAGGTCCAGGATCCGTCAGGTTCGTGAAGTATTCGAAGACCCCAGTCTGATCTGCAAAGTTTGGAGCCTCTGAGAAATATGGATTTCCAGCTGAGAGGTAGGAAGCCAAAGTTGGAGTTGTTAGAGTTACACAGACTGTTGTGTGAAAAGTATGCAAACACTAAAAAGGGGGTGGGGGTTACAAGAAAGCTACTTACGGACATCAAAATCATCTTTGTATTTTTTAGGAAATGGAGAGATGGGTGGAGGATCTGGGTAACTCCCTCTCTGACCGTTTGTGACAGTAGTAAATGTGTATACTTCGTCAACATCAAGCTCAATGCTGAAAGTCCCCTCGATTACCTACAGTATTCACAATTCACACAGAATGATACACACAGTAGATTTCATTTTGTGAAACACACATCTGTAAATAATTATTAGAAAAAACAACTACCTGAACCTTGTATTTTTTAAAGAGGATATATCATGAGACAATTCCATCATTTTCTTTACATGTACTTACTTTAATTGGCTTGAGATTTTGGAAGAGGACTGTCTTGTTTGTCTTGAAATCAAACTTTGAATGCCACACTTGCAGCTCACTGATCGAAGCCTGTTAAAAAAAAAAAAAAAATAGTTATTCCATATATTCCCATCAATTCATTTTGTCCATTATAAACTCATTTAAACCATATCAAACAACACTTACAAAAGTCCCTTTCAGATGGAATGTTACATTCTGGACCGTGACATTATAGGGAAGAAGAGGAGGCCTTATACACACAGAGTGGTCATGGGTCTAAAAAAATTCAAAGCCAGAAAAAGAGTAATATAGAAGACCATTAAAGAGACAGAATGTGCACTACTGTTCACAAGTTTGGGGTCAGAAGGATTTATTTTTTATTCAAAAGGGACAAAAACATTTATATTGTTATATACTTTCTATTCATACAAAAAATATGAATATATATTGATAATAAGAAGAAATGTTTCTTGAGCGACCAATCAACATATTAAAATAATTTCTATTTTAACACATCATGACTGGAGAAAAACACCACCACAGGAATACATTACATTTTAAAATATATTAACATTTAAAATAGTTAAAGGGTTATTTTTTGGATGAACTATCCCTTTAACTTAAACATATAATATATCACAATACATTTTTTTTTTTCTGTATTTCTAATCAAACAGATCAAAAAGCAAAATCAAAGCAAAAGAGACTCTTTAAAAAAAATCTTAACGGACATTTGAACAGTATAGTGCATTTTATGCTAATTTATTATAAGGTCAATTTTTAAAAGTCTCACCATAGTTTCAGTGATTATTGTTAGATTTCCTCTCTCATCAGTCAGTGCAACATAACTCCCACCATGTGTGAAGTGTCCCACCGTCTGCAGGTATGCCCAGCCAGGCTCAGAAAACTGGGTAGTGTGGGCTTATAGGATTTTATGAATGATACTTTGTTAGTTGCATCACACATGTTCTATAAGACCTTACATGATGCATATAAAATTAATGCATATATAGAGTGCATAAAAATACTCAGGTGTTTGGACAATACCTGTTATCCAAATAGGGGACTCAACAACATAATTTCCACTCCATGGCGCTGTTGCAGTCATTAGTCCATCCCTTCCAAAGGGAAGGTCCTCATAATAACTAGCAAGGAGGTTCCAAGATATGGTCCTACAAGAGAACACAAACTATTTATTTTCCAATTGTCAAATGTACTCTGTGAAATGAATGTATGATAAAAAGGGAAATGCTAAATGTCTTTATCAGAGTTGTCATACGCTGTCATTTTGCCATTGACGTAGTTCTGGTTGAGAATTCGGGCCCAGCAGCCTCCGCCAACGTTGTCATTAAAGGTACTGTAATCTTCCGAGGACCACAGTTTCTTCCCAGTCTTCAGGGCATTGGGCACAGTGTTGGTTCCAGGGTAATGAACCCTGTCAGTCAAACAATTCCAACAGCAAGATCTTACATCACCATTCTTCACATTTATTGACATGGCATGCTAGTGTATTTTATTTCCATTCATTCATCTTTAAAAAAAAAGTGTTGTGTATATTTTAATAAGTAATCATTCATTTAAAAATGTATCATACCCCAAGACTTCAACTGCATCTTGTAGTTCTCTGTCAGCAATCATATCAGAGGCGATCGGCTCCCAGAGGTTATCACTGGCAATGATTTTAACTCTCTCCAAACCACTTTTATCCAGTGTATATCGTAAAAGCTAGTAAACAAAACAGAGAAAGACATTTCTGACTTTTAAATGTCATTTAAATGTCATTTGCAATATACCAATGTTAACAGATAATAATAAAACAGACATGATTCCACCTTTCAAAAGTTTAGGGTTTGTCAGAGTCTCTTCTGCTCACCAAGGCTGCATTTTTTTTTATAAAATGCAGCAAAACAGTAATATTGTGAAATATTATTACAACTATTTAAAATTCGTTTTTATTTATTTATTTATTTATTAAAACTGACTTTTCAGCAGTTAGTATTCCAGTCTTCAGTGTCACATGATCCTTCAGAAATCATTTTAATATGCTGATTTGGGGCTTAAGACACATTTCTTATTATTATCAATGCTGAAAACAGTGGTGGTGCTTAATATAATTCAGATAATTCTGTGATTATTTGATGAATAGGACATCCAAAAGTATAACATTTATTTGAAATAAAATTTGTTGTAATATTGGAATGTAGGTTTGAGTCTACAAGCGTTATATTCAGATGAACTACATATAAAACGTTCCCACAGAACAAGAACAGCAAACCTTGTTCAAATCTGCAGACATGATTATATTATATTAGCATAAATGAGCTATTGCTTAACCATGTCATTCTGAGGTGAGCAACAGAATAGGAACTTAGGAAGCCACAATGCAGGCACCTAAAAATAATATGTAATAAATAAATAAATAAAAAAACTTTCTTTTTAATGAAAATAGTTTATTATGACTCTGAAATTGTTGACAGTACTTACCTTTATGTACTTACTGTTAAAATGTCTTTCATTCCATATCTGTAAAAAAAAAAAAAAAAAAAAAAATCAGATTAGGAACATGGGCACAGAAAAAAATAAAAATAAATTAAATGTAATGGTA